TTGGGGGGGGGGGGGTCAAAGCATGTCCCCCTGCTGCCTGGTCTGTCTTGTAACAGAAGATAAGCCTTGGCTGCCTCTTGTCTCTTGTGTAACTGAAAAAGGAAACAGCACCACAGAAGTAGCCCCCCCACTTTTTTTTTGTGTAGAATTTAAAGGCTTTCAGTAATCTAGTTCAGGCTTCGGCCACATACTGCACATCTTCTTCAAGCGACATAATGTGGGTATAACTTTGAGAAGGCCATGCATCACTGACTTGAAGTCCGTGAGATCATTTAGTATCTTCGTGACACTTGGCTACTGTGAACCATCTGTACGGATGAACAGAATTATTTCAAGAACTTTGAGGAAGTTCCTTAACACGTGACAGCACAAGACAAAGAGGGAACCATGGCCATGGCCCTGACAAATGCTTGCCAGATGTTGAAACTAGAAAATGTACAGAATTAAGAAGAAAATTAAGTAAAAATGTAAGTAAAAGTGATAACAATCAACGGCTGCCTTTTCAACCTCCATGCCAGCGGGGTGGCAAAGCGAGTAAGAAGATACCCTGAATTCCTACCAGCTCAAGGGTGATGTTTTGCAGCTGACCCTGACCTTTGACCTTGTTGCGGAGGGGGGGGGGCAACAAAAGAGGGGGATTTCCCTACCGCAAGCAATAATGGATAATAATAAAGCCACATTATTGCTGTCACATAAAATTGGCCAGTTTGGACTTAACCATGCACCGATTTAGTCTCCGCTGGAAGCAGAAACCACCTGCACTGTGCGAGCACCGCAGATGACAAGGCAAGGATGAGGGGAGGACAACTAAAAATGACAAGGAGAAGTGACAAATTGAATAGTCTCCTGCAGGTGGGAGCCGTTTGTGCTGGCACTGTGTTGGTGGTTGAAAGGAGCGTGTAAAATCACCAGGACGTTCATTCATCAAAGGCAGCTGATGTACAATGAGCGAATAAGCAGCTATGATTAAATGGTTTCTTATCTCTGTCTGGAAGCGGGAGGCGTGGTGACGTTCAATGCTCATGAATATCTTTTTATTTGCGAAGCCAGTGTGAATTGAGCCCGGCTTTGATTTGTTTTAAACCTGAGCTTTAACACACAATGGAGGAGAAGAGGTGTGAATCATGCCCCCGAGCATTCGTGCCCATGTGGAAAACCCCATGCCTCAGATCGTGACAAAAAGTCACCAATCCAGGCTGCCTCCTATGTTTCTCACGTTACCTCAGTATGTTCATTGATAGCCTAATGGTAAGATGCAGCAATATATGCACAGATGCGTTTATGCATTTAACGTTTGGACTGAGAAGAAAGCTGTCAATACGCGTCTTTGTGCTGGGGGGGAAGCCACATTGTGTAGCCACCGAGGGCTTTAAACCAGAGCTGCGAGGTGTGTGTCTAACTTCTGCATTCTGTTTATCTATAACAGCAACATGGGATTAAAAAGTTACAACACAGAAGGTAGGCTACCCCTTGTCTACAGAGCGTCACGCCAAACAGAATGCGAATATCTGGTGTTTTATCTTCATACCCATCCCGTCAGCTACCGCAGGCGACATTATCAAAGTTTATTTTTTCCTTGCAGCGTGTCCCATTTAATGTACTGTAAGGGTGCCGAATATAAAAGTATAGTCAGACACTTTAAAAAATTTCACCTATTTCTTAATACAACGTACGCGACGTGTATGTTGGCAAAAAGAAAAGACAACATTGAATTGAAAGCTTTATGACTGGAGTTTGGCGTAATGCTCTGCCCCGTGCATGAGAGAGCGGAACGTGAACACAAGCAACGTGAAAAGGTAATGTCAAACTTACCGACTGAAGGAAAAGCAACGTCCGGACATAATCCCTCTCGGTGTTGAGTATTTCATTTAAAACGCAAAGCCTGAGCCGCTGCTGTCGGTCCGAGTCCTTGGCGGCGTGGATACCGTTCCCCAGATGCCCGTCGTCCTCTTCCATGATGGTAATTCAACCCTCAGAAAGGTTGCTCTTTACAGAAACACTCTTGTCTTTTCCTAAGTATCCACACTTCGCTGAGTTGGTGCTTCAGTCCATTTTGCAGCCGCGAGCTTTCCGAAAAAAAAGAAAAGTCACGAGCGGTGATGCGCGACGCACCACGCACTGGAAATAAAGTTCACCTAAAGTCCCAAACAACGAGCGGAGAGAGCCGGGCTGTGTGGTCGCAGCAGCACCAGCTGAGAGCGGCCGAGGCAACAGTAGATCACTTCAGACTGGAGACCGTGGACAGGAGGAGGAGGAGGGACCCAGAGACACACACACAGCTCACTTTCTGCTATGAGCACAAACAAACAACATGTTCACAGACACATCAGCACCCGAACACTTACATTAATGACTGTAGTATGCAATGTTGCAGTGGCTCCAAAGGGGACAAGAAATACAATATAAGACTAAAACTACTGCAGCCGCCATGAACTAATTCAGACTGCGTACTGGGGAATAGACTTAAACATATAAGCCCATATAAGTATACTAAAACGTAATAAAACACAAAAACAAACACTGTATTCGATATCATATTGTCCCACGCTCACTATATTGTTAATCATTTTGCCTTTTCTGAATTCCACAATGAAATGTCGGTTAATGTAATTTTAATATAGCAGACATCCTACCTTTAAATCATGCTGCCAAATACAAATAATTTATGGTATTCAATGGAAACAAAACCATAAAAGGAGCGAACAAAATGGTGGCTAATAGTTACATTGTGTATACAGCAATTCAAATGTTAGCATTCTTCCTTCAAATGTAATATACTCTAGGTTCTTAAAACACAATGAACGGTCAGAAACACTTCTAGGGTTTATGGAAAATGTACCTAGATGAATGTTTTTACAAAAGTAAGTCTTTTAATGGCGGCCTATATTATTGTTTAATATTTATAATAAGGTGGTAAATGAATGTAGTATTTCATCCCTACCTGTCACAACAGTACCCCACCTGTAGTCAGCAAGTAACCTTAAGAGGAAGGCGCCCCCTGGTGGATACAGGCGGAGGAGAAGGAGCACTCTGTTGAACGGCTCACTTTAAAACAAGCCCCGGTGCAAAGTCAGGTCCAGAAACCCTCTCACTTCGTAATGTGTGGGGTAATGTGCACTGACTGGTCTCGTGTTTATTGTGACTCCAGCATTACCACATTGCACGCGGGGTCATGTGAGTCTCGTGCTTGAATGCTGCGGTCTCGGCCGCTACCGGACGATGACTCCATTGTTTCTCCAGCCAATCTGAAAACGATTGTGTCACCTGGTCCTCTCAGTTGTTGCAGTATAAACACGAATTCAAATGGACAGTGTGTGAATTTAAACCAGTTTAAGGGCGTAGAATCGGGTGCTTTGATGAATGGAGAAGACGAACAGCTTAAAGCTTACATCACAACCTGTTATGGTTGACCTGCTACAAATCATATCTTCGGTTGCAGTAACGTTACGGCACACCTACTGTCACAGGTCTCGCCCCGGAGCAGATGGCTGCCATATCCGGCTTGTTTCACCGCATTCACACACCACCGTTAACGAAGAATCCGTGTGTGCTGTAAACACTCATTACAGAATAACTGCATCTCATTCTGACATCATTCTGTCTCTAACTACTGAAAGTGATGGGGATCTAAACCTAGACCCTGAGGTGCTTCTGGAGAGAAGTGCTGTGAACAATAAGTCAGATATTAGGAATGGGAGAAATTAAAATGTCAATAATAGTTTTAATTGATGCATGTTACATTCAATACCCATTGTGATCCTCCCACACATAATTGCATACATACATAACTTCTCTCGCTATCTCAGATGAGGAATGCAACAGACAACTTGTAAATGCCTTACAGTATCATATATTTACATATCATCCTCCGCTTCTGTACATGGCAAATCCTTAAATATGATCAAACGTCAGAGGAGTAACATAGGATACAATGTATGACTGATTGTATGTAGTTTCTTTGAAGCATATTTAATGTACTTTTTTTCCTTCCAAAAAAAGGCATGTGCATAAAGCACTGTCATAAAAAGTGAGTCACACAATTAGACATGATAGGTTAAAAAGTCCACGACGCCTCTTCTTCATTCATATTTCACAAGATAAAACTCTTCCTTCAGCAGGGTTTTCTTTCAAAATGCACACAAGTACAAAAAGACATGTAAGGTAACCAAAGGGAATAGAAAATAAACATAAAATGTGCTCAGTGCATTAAGACTTTCCAATATAACAAAGAAACTAGAGGTGTTTGCCCTGTTCCATCTCTGTGATAAATAAATTCACATTGTTACAGGCAGACAGTGAGAGGGCTTGAATCAAAACCAAAGTACAGTGAGTAAACAAAAGTGAAACAAATTGTGAAGCCAAAAAGAAAAAAAGGTTACTAAAACGTATGTGAAGGCAAAACTGCACATTTCTGTCATCCAAACTGAACGTAACTGACAAGGTTAAATATTCTGGGTTTAGAATTTTAAAAATACAGCTTTGATCAGCCAAAATGTATAATGCTGTTAGCTACATCGAGTGTTTTGGCCTTTTAATCCATCACCACAGATTTGTTTGGAGGAGCGAGACACTTCAACTGTGCTATAGTTCCGTTTGGTGTTGGCAGAGACTTCAATGTTCTTTGTGGTCATTTCATATTAGCCCTGCAAACATCGAGTGCAAACTCCACGAGCTCTGTAACTACTCTCATTATCAGTAAACTCAAATGTTACCAAGCAGTAGGAGGAAACACATTCTTGGGCCATGTCTTGACTGAGAAACTTTAAATTTTCAGCACTGTATTGTCTTAAGATTCTCATTTGTTTAAAGTGACATAATTTGTCTTTAAATGCCATTTATGGGACTTGGAGGGGTCACTGAGACTCCTTGTAGTGTAAATGGTCTGACTGGCGGAACAAGCATACATATGGCCACGTATACACACACACACACAAACAGTGCAGTGGCTGCTGTGAGATGGGATGACTTTCAGACTGGCACAGAGACAGCGCAGGTGTCAAAAATGACATCCGCACACAATAATACAACGGAAGAATCCTATAAATCATCTGGAAAATAAAAAATATATATAAACAGCAATATTTGTGTGCTCAGTCAATTGCTGCGATGGCCAAATGTGTGTTTGCACTAGGAAGACTTTAGCAGGTGTCTCTGCATGTAGATGACAATTTGTTGTAAAGTTAGATTATGGGTTAATGCTGTCAATCGTTTCTTTGTTCTCTTGAAGCCACCTGCCCTGAAGCAGCTGCAGCGATGTTGTTTTCAATGACATTTTTTATGACGCTTACATGTTTATCTCCTTAGCAAAAATCCAACCGCGAATCTGTTTGATTAAAACAAAAACAGATATGCAGATCTGGATTTTTAACACCGCTCTGTATTACCAAACCATCATGAAATCCACTCGTATCACTGGGCTTAAAGGACAAACGTTGCACAATTTCAGGAAGGCCAACAGTGTAACTATTGTATTGCAGTTTATGACAAGCAGAAACTCTTTTGCCACAAAGCATGAACCTAAATGAGGAGAGACAGTCACTGTTGAACTTCAGCCAGTCAAATCTTCAGTGAGTGGCTGCGACATAGAAATGTAGCTTTTTCCACCTTGGCATGGTTTTTGACACTTTGCTCTCGGAGCCAAAGGCAGACAGTGTTGATATATGTATTCATATAAATAACAAAACAGTACAGTATAAATATAAAGATTCTGTGTGAGTGTGTGCGTGTGTATATGCAAGCACAGTTGTAAATGGTGTATATGAGTATAGGAGAAGAGTGCGTGTGTGTGTGTGTTGCTGTGTGCGGTTGTGAGCCAGTGTTAGGACAGGACAGGGGGGTTAGAGGTGAGGCTTTCCCTCCCCCACCTCGTGGAAGAGCGAGGTGTAAAACTCGGGCTCCAGTTGCTTGTTGCGGTAACGCTGGACAATCTCAGTTATTTTCTGCTTCCGCCTCACGTGAGGCGGGTTGTACAAGTCACTTTCCAGACGCTTCCGTCGGCACACGTTGATGACCGTTTGCCGCACGAGAAACCCTGGGGAGAGGGATGCAAACACAGGAGCTCATCAGGGACAGTTTGTGATAATGTACAAAGGAATGCAATGCAATGGATGAATCCTAGAACAAGTGATAAATCATGAAAATGTATAGCCACAGCACCTTCTAATCAGATAAAAGTAGTGAAGATACACTTGAGTGTAGACTTGTGTTTTTAAAAGTTAAAGAAACTTTCATACACAGCTTCCAACTATGCCACCTGCTGGCCATTACATGCACTTGAGCTTTCCTGTGTTTTTCCAAGGCGAAGTTATGTATCAGCATGGGCGAGAGAAATACTTCAAATGTTTTCTTTCTCTCTGTACGCGATCACAGCTTGTGCAGCCTACAAGCATGCAGATGCAAGTTCAACTGGTGAACACAAATAACAACCCTGCCTTGTTCCTATTACAAACCGTAACTTCTGCATTGAAAAACAAAATAAACAGATTAAATGGAGTTGGTTTCCTCTGCACTTCACACTCAAATACCAACCATAAAATATTAATGCGTGCATATATTATAATTTCACAAAGTCAAATCAATGATCCTAATAGATTCAGCTGTGGAAACCATGTGATGCATTACGACTTGTTGCTGCTCCATTCTCTCTGATGAGAAAAAAAGGAAATGCATGGTAGGGAGGGAAAGACAAAGACAGATGTGAGCTATTACCTAGCGCTCTGCGGCTGACCACCATGCCGTCCACCAGGGGAATCACCATGCCAAATTTACCCACAGCTCCATGCAGCCGGATCCTGAAGAGCCCCGTCTTCAGAGGGTGGATAAAGATTAGAGGAACATCCTTCTCAAGTAACCCTGACCTGAAGTAGAACAACAGAGAGGAAGATGATTTAACAATGACTCCAGAATAATATTTGAGAAACCGTGGCACAATACCAAACATAGTAAAAGCACTAACTTCATAGATAATTACCCAATTAATACTTTACCATGTATCTTGACAGATCAGACTGATTTCATGTAGAACTTAGATGTAAATGAAACAACTGAAAGAAAATGTGTCTATGTATGACTGGCCTCCTCCTCTGGTGCTGTTTTCGGCAATTGGATTGAAAATGTCAATTTAGCAATCTTCACAAATGCCTCCCACCTATTATCGTTCAAGGGACCTGGGCATTCAGAAATTGAGTTACCTCACTAATGAAATGAACGGTTGTCAGATCAGATCAGATCACACACCCTCTCAAAAGGTGGCATTGTTCATTTGGTTGAACCATTTAAATCGGCTTGAGGTTTGTGGTCTGTGGCCTCAGTTGACGACAGCATGTTATCTCAACCTTAGAAAGGATGACCAAAGCTGTACAAATGACTCATTTTTCACAAAAACTGAATATCCCTTTGTGTTACTTCACACTTGAGCTAGTGTCACAGCTTTGCCACAGTTCCTTTTCTCTGCCTGCTTTTGCACACACTGCGTGTTGTGCTTCCTGTTTCGCAATGCGTGTGTTTAGGCACTGCATGTTATCCTGCGTAATAAACAGAAATGGAGCACATGCTGTTTTGCAGAATTGTTTTTTTCTTCTTCTTCATTTTTGCACCCGACGAAAACCAATTCATGGGTCATAAGTTCTCCATATTTGCAGAAAAGTGTTTTGAGTCTGAATACCTGCAGGAAGTGCTGTTGCTCATGCTAGCTTCCAAGCCTGTGCTGGTTTCCGCCAAGAGATCAGACAACGGGAAGTTCTCTAAAAACACAAAAACAATGGCATTCATGTACCCACATCCATTGGTTAAGTACTTGAAAAAACAGCTTTTTACAGCCACCTTTTAAGGCTGCAAAAGCTGATTATTTTTATTGTTGTGGAGAAACTCACTGACTGAACAAAAGAAGACAATAAAGAATAGTATAATCTATGGAGAGTATGTGCCTACCGATATCATCAAAGCGCTCCACCCAAACCACAAACACCTTTGTCTCCGGACCCAGTGGTGGGAATGACTTTCCAGTCGATGACCTCTTCGTCTTTACCAAAGGACTCAGCTACGGTAAGAAGACAAAACAGTGAGTGTAAGAAAAATGAAAATTCATAATCAGTGCTGTCCACGTCCACTTCAGATAACCTCACATAAGCCAAACTGTACCTTTTTGGCAGACTCCAGGTTTTCAGAATGGTTGGGGAACAGCTCCAGTGTGAGATTGGGTTGTTTGAGTAAACCGGGCATGAGGTCTGTGTTGCTGTCTGCCTCCACTGTGGAGTCACTGTGCACTGATGACTCCTCTGGGAAACAACAAAAGAGCAAATGGCAACTCTGTCAACCCCAAATCCCTCACCGAGTTTTCATAATATACAGTGTCTACCAATTCACATTCAAGGGAGTGAATGCTGACCAGAGTTTTCTGTCAAAGATGGAACAACGAAGGCAATCTCTGTCAGAGCATCAGCGTAGTACAAAACTTTCTTCTCCCCGTTGAACACTGAACCTCCTGTGTCCTCAGGAGTAGCTGCTTCCTCTACAGAAAAAAACAGAAGTTCAACATTGACTTAGTTACCACAAATATCCAACATGCAGATAACCAGGCCATGATATGCATTCGCCCACAGACCTCCTCAAACCTAACGCATTAGTTGGCTTAGTAGCTCACCTGTTTGTTGTATATCATTGCTGTCGGAGCACGAGTTGAGGGACCAGCTGGTATCTAGGTGTCCCGTCCACCCTGGGTGGCGTCCCACGTCCACAGGCCAGCCCAAGGACAGCAGGAACTCCAAAAAGTGGGGCTGGACGCTGGACGATGACTCCACGTTCCTAAGGATCTGATCACCACAAGCACGAGAACACACACAGATATTTTTATACACATCTTGTCAAAGAACTAACAAAGTTAAAATTCACACAGAAACTTTTGCAAACAACCAATCAGCTGGACTTCCCTCACCTCAGGGCTGCTTTTCTGTCCAGCCCTCACATAGAAAATAAAGACAGTGTCAAATGGTCGGCAGGGAAGTAGGTCCAAATAGCTGATGTCATCAAAAAAACCTGGCAAGGATGACTCCAGGCCAATCAGATGAGGAGGTAGACGACTGTTGTTGGGCTCCTATCAATAACAAATGAATGAACATACATTCTAAATTGACTTTATTTACAAACAAAATGGTATAACATTAATGATTTATACATTACAGTATCATTATCATTTATCATTATTATTCATTCAACAGACTTGAATATAATCACAATGCAAAAGTACCAATCAAAGTTAAGTATAAGTAAGTGGAAAGCTTGTATACAATATTTGATTAGATTTTCTCGTGAAAAAACGGACAAAGTGGACAAATTAAGTTTAGCAACCTTGAGCGCCTCCAGAGACAGAAAGCCAAAGTGAGAGAGGAAGAGGCGTGCTGTCTGGAACTCCTGGGAGGGTGGAGGGGGTTTGCAGTCTGTCTGTGGGTCAGGGAAACGCTTGGACTTCCAGATTTCCTCGCTGTGCCGCTCCAAGGCGTTTTCATACTCTATCTGCTTGGTCATCAGAATACGCAGCTTGTCATGCTGAATTTCCAGCTGAAAAAAAGAAGGGCATGGGGCATGTTTTTAAAGATCATTTTAAGAGGCTGTGGCTGATGAACGGCACTCGATTGCATAAATCCAGAATGAACCCACAAAAGGCAAGTCCCACAGTCCAAATACTGAGGTGTCACATCCCAAACCTGATGTGAAAAGAGTTCTAGTGTGCAAAGGTGCTTTAAAACATTCAAAGTCCCCATTTTACTAGCTAAACATGTACAATGTAATCCAATCCAGTACAACAACTCTTCAATAAATCCAGTCTTTGTGAAGCTTTTAATGTTCAACAGTGCGTCAGAGAGGTGTTGGTTCAACTCTGTGGTAATTTTTTCCGTCCGTAGTTAGTGGTGGTTTTGGATTGCATTACAAGCTACAAATTATTGCAAGGGTATTGCATTGGATTGAGAAACTGGAACAAAACGATCATCATACGTTTGTCACCAAACCAGATTATTTGACCCCTTTTTCCCCGCCAAGAGACATTTTCAGAAATTTCATCTCTCCAACAACTCACTTGTGGATAATTACTCATCGGTCTTGAATCATCCTGCCAGCCCATACAACACACCTGAGTTTGTATAATAACAAATAACATTAGTGACATTAGTTTACTTTATGGCTTTATTTTAGCCATGGCAACAAACAATCTTGCTTTATCTTATTCCCGTAGTAGAATAATTTCATTTGTGTGTAATTAGTCATAATGTGGGTACTAGATCAATGACAGGGTCCCACAGGAAACAAATCTCACCTCTTTACTGACAATGTCGTCCAGGTCAGGGATACTGACATCAGCTTTAACAAGAGGAATCTTATCCACCTCTTCTGGGAAGGGCCTCTGCTTGACGTTGTACTTGATCCCCACATCGTTGTTGGGCGTTGGACGGCCCTCAGGAACAAACACCTGCTGTGGAAAGAGAACAGATTTGTGGTATCAGCAAAACAGATGTGGAGCTTCATGTTTTACTAAAGCAAAACTCTAGCATGTCATGTTAAAACATTTCTGAGATGATTCGGTTTTAGCAATGTTCTCCTTCATGAAGCAGTAGTCTAACAGTGTGATCTCACCCTCTGATTGGCCCGAGCTCCTCTGGGTTGGTGGAAGAGCTGCATGGTCCAGGCATGTCTGCCAGCCGTCCCTCGGATTAAAACTGTCACTGATGGACTGGGGTCTGTGAGGACAGACGCTTTCATTTACGGACAGACAGGATGGCTTGTTGTTTTCTACATTTTAATTGACCAGTACTTTGCAGATGACTTACACTCTACTTTTAAAAAAAAATTAACCTTAATTATCTCCGATATCCCAACAAACCGCCAAAGGATGGATGATATGCTACTTACTCTGCTCATTGCCGAGAGGTTGCTCCAGCATGGCGAGGATGACCGAGTTGTCCAGGACAAAGTAGCGGAAGTTGCTGGCTCCTGTGGCACTCAGTCTGGCGTAGCGTATCAGGGTGTCTTCATTCAGCAGACTGCAGGTGGATGCAGTCCCACTGGGGGAAGGGAAGGCCCCCAACACCTGCATGATACTGGGGAACACCATAGCAAGAACATAAATATACAGTACAGAAACTGCATCAATATGAACAATTTAGTACAACAACTTTTGTTGACTTTCGTTAACAAGATTTAAATGTCCAACCAAAGATACAAAACTGGCAGTCAAAAATAATGCAAATGTGGATTGTTGAACGGACAACAGTTTTTTTTGGAGAGGTACTATTTCCTGCCGATGGCCCAGTACATGTAATTGACAAAGCATATATGTTCGAGGGAAGTCTCAAAACTGAATTTTAATTTCAGTTTTTTTTTCTTCAAATAATAAAGATTAGATAACCAAAAGGCTGTTTTGAAAAATAAATGTGTTGCAACTGAAAACTGTAGAAACTCTGAGTCTCACCAGGACAAAGTCGCCTCAGCCGCATCCTTGACCCTCATTGAAGCTGGGTTGTGCTCCTTCTCCCCTTTATGTCGGACTTCCTGTTCCTGTCGGGACTTGCTGCCAGAAATTCCCAGCTCCACAATCTCCAAAACCTCTACCAAACAATCCTGATCCACAGAAAACAGAAGAGGCGACAGTATCTTATAGTATTAGTATACATTTTTCTTTCCAAATAAATGTCTCATTTAGGCTGGACTCAAACATGATTACCAACAAAATGTTCCTGACTAAATTTCTCTGAGAGAAATTGTAAAGTTTCCAATTTTCTGTATTTTCTCGGCTTATTTTTATCAAACAATATTCTCTCCCCCCTTTTACCAAACAACAATTTAAGGGAAATTTCCATGCTTTAAACCTACCTTCTCATCCAGCATGTCAGGGTGTTCAGTGAGCCACACACAAAGAAACTGGAACGCAGCTACAATCATGGAGTGGAGGTCACGAGATTGAAGAGGAGCCGGACGGCTACACTGGTAGACAATGTATCCACATATAGAGCTGACAGCACGTTTACGGTCTGCAGAGTCTACCCCCACCTTCACCTGGTTGAGACATATACAAAAAAAGTCAAATTACAGTACTAGAGAACTTAAGCATTTATATAAATCCAAATAACCTCATGTAACCTCCGTGTTGCCTCGTCCTCTTCTCTCTCTGCTCCTCAGCACCCTTCATTTGTGTGTTATCAAGAGCCAGATATTTACATTTTATAGACAATTACTGTCTGTTTTATAATGTGATCTTATTTGGAGACTGACACCTCTCATAGCGTATCATAGCAGGTTCACTAGTTGGCTGGGAACAAGTGTACAGCCATTACCAGGCAGAGAAACTGCAGGCCGCTATCCAGAAACTTCTCTCATTCTGGTCATTTGTGGTACTGTGTTGACAGTTTGAGGGCAACTCCCATGTTGCACATGGGAATTTCCGACTTAGAAGTCGACATGAACCACTTGAACGCACCATTAGTTTTATTCTCTGTGAGGCTAGACTGTCTCATTTGGGCAGGAGGTGCACTAGTTAACTGGGGCCAGGGGTTAAGCCATCTGAAAGGTTAGTTTCATGGTAACATCGTTTATTTTTTCTGTAAGCCTACTAGGAGGAGCAAATCCAGTGTTTACCTTCAAAAAAGCTGTTTCATAACAGCTTTTATTAAGTGAAGTGTTGGTAGAGGTGGCAATACAACAGCTTCCAAGATGGTACGACAGACAAGTGAACTAAAAGCCACACAATAGCCTCACCTTGGCCTGGCCAGCAAGTAATGCAGCAGATTGTTACAGTGAGCTTCTGTGGTGTTTGTAGCTTTACCTTGGCAAGTCCAGCCAGCAGCTCCAGGGCAGCCAGTGAAATGCTCATGTCTTGTCTCCACTGGGAGTTCAGTCTCTGGGTGACTAGGTGGATGCTGCGTACCAGCAGGCCCGCCGCCGTATCTGGAAGAGCTAGACCATATAACACCCCGAAATACCACACACCGCAAAGAATAGAGCAAAGCAGAATTCAGGCCAAACAGCTGAGGTATACAGGACAACAGGAAACATGTACTGGATGCCCAGTTAGTAGATATGTCTTAGTATTGAAAACATGCATTGCAATAGAGATTTAAATCAGTATAGCACACAATGTTGATAACAATTCAGGCAGACTGAAGAATAGGTGAACTGCTAACGAATAGGGCTGAGCGATCAAGTTTTGACTTGGAAAGAACAGAAAACTTTATGCATGATATAATCAACCAAAACTAAATTAATTAATTACCAGGCCTGGTCTGATAAAAATCCACAACACACAAATACATGAAACAGAAATATACTGTTGTTATCTCGTGGGTTGCTATGGATTTGTAACATATGGGGATGTTCTGCTGCTTTATGTGGAACTGACACAAGAAAGTAGTCACAACTTGTCGTACAGCATGGTTTCTCAGTTTAACCTACAATAGATCTTTTTCACAGCAGCCATTTGACATGAAATACCAGGGTAAACACAGGTACTTTTATTGTTGTTGTATTTGTCCTATCCAAAGTAAACATTTCTCGAGCTGACTACCCATGTCAGGGTTTCTATTAAACACACTAGCTGATGTAACTAAAAGTGATTGTGTTGAGGCTTCTGCATTGAGATCATTAGGACTTTCAAAACAAGATAAATCCCAAATCATGCTGAATTGGCTGCAGTGTGTGAACAGCTGTCCCCAGACTCCTGCCTACTCTACAGCCTCATTTTTCCTGTCCAGCACTGTGCCTCACAACACAATGTTACCATCCCGTCCCACAGGAACTCTGCGGAATACCCCCCCATTTCCTGCATGGCAAAGTTGCCTATAAGCAGTACAGCTTTCAGCATAAATGGGTATGAACTTGTGTGTGAAAAATTGAGACTGTCACTGTCATTATTGACATAGTGTCCAACCCATTCATTTAGGCAATCATCGCTCAGCCCTACCGAGGAAAAGACGGAATCTTTCAAATACTTTTGATTAGGCAACATTGTTGCAGCTAATCAATTACTGAAAGAAAAGCAACCAGCCCAGACACTCCATAACACAGCATCACAGCAAATGACTTTGGTTTCACCTACAAAGACATTTCACCCAACGCTTCTTAACTCTGTATACCACCTTAACCACGCTAGCTATAAAGAAGAAATGCGTTCATTCAATAAGTTACATGTTTTGCATTGACCAGCACACAGGTACTGATCACATGAAATTCCAGCAAGCCTGTTATGCAAAGCTGGCACCGTTGTGTTAATTCACCGAGCACAGTGGTATCAGTTTATGTCTCTTACCGTAGTCTCGAAGCAAGGCCTGGGCAGGGCGCTCAGAGTCTGGGCTGGTGGCCTCTGTGCTGCCCCCGCTGGTGAAACTAATGCCACTGTTGGTACGGCTGTGACTCTGACTCCTCACTGTCATGTGGCTGCCATCTATACTCCCCTGCCACCACGAAAAACACAGCAATGTTGAGGTCCAGTTCACACTGCTTCTAGCATCATAAACTGTTAATCGTTTAGCAGTAGATAGCAGTGAGCTGGGCTTACTGTTTCAGTCTGTGCACCAATGGATTCCAACAGCGCTGAGTCTTGAACAATATTTAGCATTGCACCTGAAATAAGTATTATTCTTATTATTGTCTTATTATTATTAATAAGACTTTAACACAGTCCAAAAGCGGTTTAAGTCATAAGTAATATGGAAAGGCTAAATAAATAAGATATGAAGTAGATACCCAGGATGAGCTGTGTGTTGGTGGGGTCAGTCTCAGTCTGCAGTGCTCCTATGAGGACATTGACGAGACGTAGCCTCAGGGACAGGAAAGACACGGGTTGGTCATGAGGCCACCCGTCCTCCTCATTGAACTTCCCTTCCAATAAAACCTAGAGCAAAGCATTAACATGGTAAAGAACCTGGCCTAATTGTTTTTAAAAAGTGGCTTTATGGTGCAGAAAATGTTTCAACAAGGATTTCACATAAGCTACATGAAAACGCTGTGATGAATGTATTCAATTCACACCACCATGAAACATATCCAGCACTAAAGTGGCAGATTTCAAATAAATAAAATGTACAGGTACCAAAAACTGTTACCTCTGATTTGATGTTACCAAAGTGATGTGGCAATGGCAGCATGGCAAGCAGGATGTTAATGGAGGCTCTCCTCAGGTCGGTAGGATTTACATACATCTTGAATTTGGACAGCTCCCTGTTAGAGTAAAACCAATGTCATGGACTTCAAGAGACAATATTCTCAAAATCTCTGAAGATAAATCTCTCTCGATTTCTCCAGTAAATAAAAGATGCTAATCACATGACTGCTCCAAAACCTGCGTCTTACCTGTCTGGTACAATAGTCTCCAGGGCAGCTATGAAGTAGGGCACTACCACATTGATGCCCTTCAGGTCAGTACAGAAGAGAGAGGAAGAGTTGAGAATGATAGAAGCCAGGACTGGTCTACAGATGAAATCAGAGATCTGGAGACCCTGAATCAGGACCATGTAGAACCTGCAGAAACAGAAAGAAGAATTAGGGCTGCCTCCTAATAATCGACTTAATCATTAGTCGTCAAAATCTGTTCAGGAGCTGTGCTTTGCCATCAGGACTTAGGTATCAGGGGAACAGACCTTTTCTCTGTTAACACAGGGGGTCCCTTACCGCTAACTGCTCATTAGCAGTCCTATTAGCGGACTGTACATGGATTGGGAGCTCGAAGGACAGGGGGAATTAAGAGCATAGGAGCAACGGGACCCAGCGGAGAATGCTATGGTTCCGGGATGAGCGGACCAACAGAGGCCAGCTGATTTACAACGGCTACGAACAGGACTATTATGACTCTGGGGATGAAGACATGAGGGGTTCAGGCAGTGACAGGAGAGAAATAGAAACGGAGTAAGGAGCAAGTTTGTAGCGAGTTAATTAACTGTGAACGATATACATCATCCATCATATGGACCAGTATTTGTTTTTGTGAAGTTGGAAGTCTTGGACTATTGGCTTCATTAATTACGAATACTACTCGTCTTGCACAGTTTATAATCTTAACAGCAAAACCCTAAAATTGCACGCCTACAGTTAAACTGGAGATATACTTGCTTTTTAGCCATGCATTTGCATCACGGCACAACGATTCAAACAGACGCAGGATACGCGAGGCAGCCATCATGCACACATAAACACCTAGTTAAAAGCAAGTATATCTCCAGCCTTAGGCTGATGACAGTTTGAATTAGCATTCAAATTAGCAAAATACTATAAAAAAATATTTTACCTGGACAAGTAAACAGGCAGAATCTCTTCTCCAGTTTTCTTGCTACAGAAGATGCGGCACAGAGTCCCACAGGCCTCAGCTCGTCCTGCCTCATAGCTCTCTGGGAACTCATTGGCATCAAACAGAGGGTTGGACACCATGGAGTCTGTAGACATTTGGGAACCCTTCCTTCTCAGCTCCAGACCTACTTGAGTGGCTATCGCTGTAGAGAGTGTGAAGAGACAGAGAATGAAAGGACCCTAAATTGTAATATGGTCATTAGTATACATGCATGTATGTATGAGAAACAGGCAAACATAGACATGTAGCTATTATATGCACACTACAATAAAAAAGTAAACATAGTAAAACTTTGAAAAACAAAAAAGCACCATAAAGCAGACATTTAATCGCTATTACAACAAGAGGGAACAAAGACCTCAATGACTGCAAACACACACACATCATTTAAAAGCATTCAAAAGGGAACTCTGACACAAAGAGTTTGCCATTTATGTTCTACCTATCACTGGCAAAGCATGACCGAGTGCAGTGTGCTCGTAATAAAATGTTTTCAGCTGCAAGACCACAAAGCAAAATCCCTGTGTCAGCTCCCTCGCTGTTGCAATTATATGACTGTCACTCAAGGTACAGGACATTCACTTCATGCGTTGAGGCACCAAACCAATAAAATCAAAACTCAAGTGAACTGACAATACAAAAGGAAATTACAAGAAACAAAACATTAATGCTGAACTTGAGGGGGGTCTGAAACCAAATAAGGATTAGTGTGACCCAAAGGAAAATAAAATGAGAACTTAAAAACGGGGTGGCGTTGTCACAAACTGGCAACGTTATGGTTGAGACAAAGTGGTCAGTTGGTGAAACCCATTCAATCACCTTTGGAGAAACGCTGAGAGAACGCTGGTGAACTTTTTTTTTTATATATATATATATATATATGACAAGCAGTGGGAACAGAAAACAATGGCGATAATGGCGATGATCATGAGGAACTCAACTAAAAAGCAGGAAGATTTGTCAAGAAACGCAAATCAAGTGAGGAAAAAAAGCTGCCGTTCCTACTTACAAGATTTATAAGAAAGGAGAATTTGGATAAAAGAGGCTGCAAGATAACAGAAATAGTGGAGAGACACAAAATCAAAGCAGATCCAATATTTTGGGATCAATTCATATCAGGCATGAATTGTGTTGTTTTTTTCTTTTTGTTCTCCTCAAAACATGACTTTTGACCCATTACAACTCTTTAACATTAATCAGACATAGTAGACACGTGCAGGACACTACACCAAAAAGAGAAAAATAAATGGAGAGCCAATGATGAGCCAAATTTCTTTTCAAATACCAAATACTGTATGTGGTGTCACCGACTCCTCTAGTGATGATTTTACCAATAAAATGACAATATGAAGTCCTTAGCATATGGTTATAGTCTATATGCAGTTTTAGCCAGGTTTAAATAGTTGGTAAATGTAAATGGATTAGAATCAGATGGAAATCTCATACCAGGCCACTTCTAACCAAGCCCTCCACACACAGAAAGGCACAACGAAGTTTCAGAGAAAATGGTGAAAAAAAGAAAAGGATATCCCGAAGACATACAGTAAAAAAAAAAAACATAACAGACACCAAAAAACTCAGATAACTCCACAAAAACACATACTAATGAACAGCAACAAAACACCCACCTGCCCATGCATAAATGGAAACGCTATTAGCCAACGTCTCACTTCTTACCCGTCATGCTGGGGTCTCGGCTGAGGCCGCTGTGGAGCTTACAGTGGACCAGAGCAGCGTCAAAAAGCCACTGGCCGAACAGGTTGAGGATGCTGTTGACCTTTGGCCGTGCAGGGGCCGGCAGGGGCCGAGACTCCCAGCTGCTCTGGTTGGGGCTGGAGAGAAGGGTCGGGGAGGACGAAGTCTGCTGCTGCTGCTGTTGCTGCTGGGATGCTTTGGTTGGTTGACTACCGCTGCTCTGCAGGGTTGGGAGGGATAGAAGAAGATGTTTTTTGCCCAGGTGTTGACAACATGACTAGTGTTACTAACAGATCACACACAGAGAAGATGAGTTGAGATTTTCTCAATTAAATGGGACAAAAGAAATAGCGGTAGATGTGATACACACGTTGATTTTGACAAGTGTAATGAATGCTTTAAAAAAAAAAAGTCTTTCTGATAGAAATCTCTATCACAAATGAATTAGCGCTGTTCTGTCTATAGATTAGCTTGGAAATAATGATATGAAAGAGAGAGACGTAAACTTTTTCTAACTCTGCACTTATTATTTTCTATGGTTCAATGGAACGCTTTAACTTACAGTTGAACTCTTGCTCGTGGTTTTGGTGACCACTGTATGCCGTTGCTTGCGGCTGTGAGGGGGCGTGGTGTTGGTGATGGACGGGGGTGGGGACATGCTCATTCTGTTGACGGGGGTGGGCGGAGCACTGTCAGCTCTGGGACGTGATATACCTGTTGGAAGGAAAGTAAAATGAGCTGGGGACCTTCGCTAGTGTTTTCCCCTCCATTTCTGATTAGCCCCAGCAAACAAGGAAAAAATATTTATCCCGCCATTTTTCCAGTGGACAAAACATGTTAATATTAATGGGTAAATATAATCATTTGAAGCCATTTTCCAATTTCTAATGTTAGAGAGAAGAAGAAGAAAAATGAAGTGGCTTCAGAGTCTGGGAGTTGATCATTGACAATGTTCATTCACAGACATGCAGACGGTTAGACACAAATCAGCAGTAATTGACATCCATCCATCTTGATTGACCTTTTTTTTGTTCCCCCCCCCCCAAGACACCCCTTGTTGATGATCTTGTAGCTTAGTCTGAATGTTTGGGACATACCATTTTGCTATAGCAAGACTAACCCCCAGTAGTTAATATCATCACCACCAATAAATAGACCAATCCATTACATGCCCATCTCATTATATGACATATCAGCTGATGTTTGTACCATGAGAAAGCAGCACTGGACAAAAAGTGAACACCCTCTCCCGTACATCTCTCTTTTCAACAGAGACACCTAAAGAGAAGAATACACACTGACATGTTTCTATTCAAATGTTTAAACAGATATTACTGACTGACATCCTCCATCTTGATTTTACTCAGACGTAGTGCAACAACTGGAAAGGAGTAAAACGATTACAAGAAATGAATGCTTGGAATGGCTTTCACTATTCACATAATCACATATACTTTACACTTCTATGAACCATTTTCAAACAATATGTGTGTTTTAGATTTTTGAATGCATTTTTCCTACCCTGCATGGTTAAAGTTGACTTTTTTTATTAGCTTGAGTGAAATAACAATAAACACTATGCAAGCTTTTGGTGTAAGTATTAACTCTTTGCATGTAATACAGGACAGGCTTTGCCTCAGCCCATGCAACAATTGTGTCATTTTGATAATAGTAAACTTATGTTGAATGTTATGGGTTACCTTTCTAAAGCAGTTAGCTGCCTCGAAGTCAAATATATAAAACACAACATCATGCATTGCAAATCTATCAGTAATATAAACATGTTTTATAGTATGATGGCTAAAATGTGAGGGATCTTACTGCTATGTTTTTCATTTAACTCTGAAATGTATTCCTTTGTTGGCTTCTGAACACTGACAACACCCTCTTAAATGTCTCATGACATTTATCATTTTGAACTCGGCATCCTCTTACCCAAGAAGGCATCCACTAGGCAACTGACGCCCCTCATGGCCCTGAAGAAGATCTGGGGTAGCTGTTTCAAACATGGATGCAGCACCACTTCATGAGGGATACCGCTGGAGTTAAGAAACTGTTCCTGAAACTTTGGAGTGGTGCTCACTATCGCAGGGTTGCTCAGGTCCACGGGGTTGCTACAAATAAACAGAGAAAGAAAGAAATGCATGGATTAAGCGCGCTTATTTGGATATATCTGATGTCTGATTCTGTGGTGGCTTGGAAGCTTGGAATCAGTTCTGTGACATTTAATATTGTGAGCACTGAGATGACGACAGAGCAGTATCAGCAGGATTCTGAGATTCTGAACACATTTGGAACAAACTACAAAAGATAAATGAGATGACTTCAATTAATATGATTATATCTAAGAAGAGGAATGGGTTTCAAACTTAAGATTGTGGCTGCAGTGCCATCACGAGGAAGATGTTTTGGAGCAGACTGTGCAAGACCAAAGGATGGAAGAAAAGAAAGACTTCTCTGTCCCTTGCAACACATGGAAAAGTCATCTGTGTCTATTTAAGTTAGACTGATGGGGAAAGAACATCTCTTTTTCAGGCTGGAACCCAGGAAAACAACGGTTTATTCACCTAAGCATGTGGAGAAAGCGGTACCACGTCTGTGCCACACAGTCGTTGTCCATCTCTAAAGGAATCAGGTTGGCATCTTCATCAGGAACTTTAAAAGGTGGGAAGGATGGTCCGTGGGTAAAGCGCAAAAGCCTGGATTGAAGAAGTGAGACAATAATGAACAGATGACCACATCTTATTATTTTTCCCACTGACATTATTGCAACCGCCAACTGTTAAAAATTTGATTTGCTTCTCCCATTTGTGGACGCAGGAGTTAAACAGGTTAGACAACCCAAGTCTTATCGAACAACCGTACAATACTTTAAACAGAAACAAAACTCATTGTCAGTGACAAACTGTATTTAGTACTAAATCCAGGGCCACATGAAGTTAAGTTGTTCTAACCTGGAGGTCAGGGCACAGGCCACTCTGCTCCACTGCTCTACAACAGGAGGGTGGTGTCTCCAGTTGGCCAGCATCTCCCTTGCTGTCTTCCAATATGGCGGCGTGGGAAAGCAGCGTGCACATGCCAGGAGCCACACCTCAAACAACACTGCCATCAATTTCTCTGCCAGTTTCTCTGCCACCCCGACTGAAAGAGGGAAAAATATTAAAGGGATTATAGATATTAGTAATTATCATTATTAACTTACAAGAAATACAGCAAGAGGGATTGTGTGGCGAAGGGCGAGGCATACCTCCAACCGTGGGCGGGGCAAGTAACGTGTCGTTGATGCGAAGCAGGAAGAGCAACAGCACCTCCCAGGTTTCCCTCACCATGGAAATGGACTCTCGTGCCAATTTTTGGACTGCAGTCAGAACTTGCTGGCAAAGCCTGATGTGGTTCAGACTGTGCTGTTCAGGCCTGGAAGAAGACACAGAGCGTTCAGAGGACATGGAGGAAATTGAAGAAAATGTGTACAATATGCACCAAGTATACCTTTAAATACAAAAACTACAGTTAATGGAAGATGAAAGCTCATCTGTGAACATTCCTGACATACCTTGGTACAAAGACATTGTAGAGATGTTTGAGGATGGTCTGGACATACATATTGGGCTCCTTGACCACAGGCTGAGGCATGGAGTCCCTGGGCGACACCAGGGCCATCATCCAGTCTGTATACACATCCACACACAGCTTGACAGTGTCCCCTTCTAGGGGGAGGGTGAGGCCATAACACAGCACCTCCATGGTCCACTTCACCTAGGAACCAAACCAGTCTCATTAATCTATTTGAATGTTTTCAGATTATTATTAGTTATCGGCTTATTTTGTAGCATTTCGCTATGTGGCATGATTGTTGTTGGTCAGTTTTGTATGCCACTGCCACAACAGAAAATTACAGCTCTCAAAACAGATTTCTGCAAGTTCTGCAATTCTTTTGATATAATACTGTACCTTTACTGTAGGTCAATCTGTACTATGTCATGTGAGTAACCATAAGCAGTTTAGCACATCTGGTTTAGTGTCTCATAACACAGAGGGCCAAAGGTTTAGGGTAAGATGATGATGGCAATAACAGTACACTGCATCTCTTAACCATGTTTTAGTTTCCTGTGAGTCAAAAACAGACCAGATATTCAGAAGGCAAGTGATGAGTGAAAACCAGATCACTATTGTACAAATGTTACATTTTAAACATTGGTGTAAAGACAGTTAAGACATCCCAGTCATGTTTTCTCGCCTATTGTCCCAATTCAAGTCCTTAAACTGTATGTTCAGCACAGAATACAGATGCACACTTAGTCTGAAGTCAGCCTGCAGAACAGCCCTCCCTTGACAGTCTCCTGCCATATTTTGTATCATTTCCTACAGTGTTTTGTGTAAAAGAAGGGAGAGTAAATGTGGCTCAGTGGTGACAGAAGGGTTTATCCATGTTTTATCCTCAGCATGAATGAGGTTCAAAGCAACAGCAGCACTCCAGATGCATGGTGCACCTGAGAAGCGTTTGCTGAAATATTTTTAACCCAACGCAGCTCCTCAGATCTCTTCCTGACGCATGCTGTCACATCATTAACTGAAACTCCTGGCTAGATGTGAGCTCTGCGCCTGAATTGTTCACAACTGTGTGTGTGTTTCATCAGAGCACAGGGGAGACTTTTTCTGACAGCTGGTGTAAACCGAGCATACAAACAAAGGGATGAGAAATTGATCTGGCTTTTTTTTAAGTCAAAAAACATCTTAAATCAGACTCTGCTCTGACCCTACAGAGGGGCTCAGGACATCCTTATTAAACATACTACTATTGTTTATCACTGAATATATACTATGTGCCTCAGAGGCTTTAAGACATAAATAAGACATATTTTTTTACATAATCGGAGCACAACATGAAGAGAAAATACACAGCACATATACATAGGCACACTGTGTTCATTTTCATGAGAATGGACGGTGAAGTGAAGGGGGAACTTAACCGACAGCACTTAGCGTCTGTTGTGTTTCAGACCTAAGCCTCGTGCAGAGATATGAGAAGCTATCTCTGTAGCACTTCATCCGTCACACCTTTATATGTTGATAATGACATACTAGTAGCTGTACCAAAGACTCTTGAGTTAAAAACCTATGACAGCCACCTAGGTTCTGACTAATGGCATTTAAATGGACTTTGAGAGCAGGAGAAAAAAAAAAAACTCTGCTCTCATGACAAAAATTCAACACTTTAGCCTCAATGTCAAGACTTAGAGCTGGTCAAAATCAGGGTACGTAACGTACTGTCATCCCTACACTTAGACTTGGCATTAGTACTGTAGTTTCAGACCATGATTTTAAAGGCAGGAACTGGGAAAGGGGACGATTAATGAAGCCAAATATAGAGAAGACCTTGAATAAACCCTGCTCCACAATGCGAGCAACCTCAACACACAAAGCACAAATCCAACATAGCATTGGTCTTTGTCCCAAAGTTGTCCCAGCTAGGAACATGACTTATGGAAAAGCTTAAGCGCAGATATAGAGGGAAACATATGAGAAATTGCCCAAATCTGTGTGTGCAAACCTGATAATGACATACTATAGTAGAGTTTAAAGTTTATACATTTGCATATATTTCTCATGTATTTTTGTATTTCTCCCAATTGGGTGTTGTGCTTGCACTTCAAAGAAGTTAATGTCATTCAATTAAGTGAGGGGATTGAAATAGCACTTATATCTCACACCAGTGATGTAGGAAGCTGCTCCTTTAAGTTGATTACTGCTCAAATCGCAGCATGTCATATCAAACAATGGTCGTGCAGAGTAAAAATAACTTGAATTCCACCAGTGTGGTGACACCAAGCAGAATGTCTACAACAATTCAAACAGCTGACGCTCAAATTAAGAGATCAATCCCTTGGGTTTTTACTAACCGTGCCTCCTGCTGCATAAGCCATCTTTTTATTCAAAGTCCAGGCAATTTGTGCAGGTTTTGAGCTGACCGAAGCTTTGGTCACGGAGCTGCTAGCCCTCCAAAGCATTAAAATGATGTCAAACACTGAACAGTTGAACAGTTGCAAAGTACATTGGACCTCTTTCTCACCTCCTTGTCTGTTTTGAGGATGTTCTCTGTGGCGACAGGGCTTACAGCTGTGCCCAGAGGTTTGACCACAGCATTCGCCACCTCTGTGCCCACAGTGGTGGGATAGGTGTGCAGGACGCTGAGGTGGCCCTGGTCACTCTGCACCACCAACTGCAGCGAGCGCCACTCCGAGTACATGCTGCTGATGTCTACTGCACTCTACTCACACCTCCTGCCTCCACCTGCAGACACACACACACACCGAAGTCAACTCAATAAGAAAGATTGGGAACATTATGAAGAGGCCACTTAACTAATATCTTACACAAATAGACTGTTAGAGTACTTCTGCCAAAGCTGTCAGTATGTAACCTTGCTAACAGAGAAACACACACACCTCATACAGGATTCTGTTTGACAACTGATTTGATCTAGTCCATCAAAAGGTCCATCAAGCAGTATTTCAACTTTAACTTGTTGAACTGGTTTACTCCTGTCTTACGTAACTAACTTAGGTTATTTTGGTGGAAGGAAAATGAAGGATGAAAACGTACAACGACGATGAAAGATTCAATTATATTAGAACAATTGTCGTCTGGTGCAGTGCATGCACAGCGGGGTTAATGTGGCTAACGTTGGTGTATCAGTAAACAA